CGCCGATTGGTTGCAAAGAAAGACAGATAGAAAGATTTGTGTGGGACAGACCCTTTCGCAACCTAAGGAGTCCATATCTATGACGAACAAATTTTGCATTTCATAGACTATTTATTCGAAATCCTCGCCTCACGACTCCCAGAAAACCAATTTCTCCAAAACTCGATTTTTGTGTGATATAATAATCAATCAGATTTTGAGGTGATTGGACCCCTAATTCGAACTCATCGCCTCTGAAAGCCCCTATCTGACTTTTTTCCCGAAAACGCAATTTTGATTAGCTGGTTTCTTGGCAGCTGAATTCCTATTGGTTTTCGGTCAACCAAACAGATTTCAAAGCGATTGGATTCTAGATTCGGACTCACCGCCTCTAAAAACCCCTATCTCACCGTTTTCCCAAAAACACAAGCTTAATTAGCTGGTCTCTTGGCAGCTGAATTCCTATTGGTTGTGGACCAACCAATCAGATTTCGAGGCAAATGGACTTCAGATTCACACTCACCGCCTCTAAAAACCCCTACCTGACTCTTTTTGGCGAAAACTCAATTTTGATTAGCCGGTTTCTTAGCACCTGAATTCCTATTGGTTTCTGGCCAACCAATCAGCTTTCGAGGCGAATGGACCCAAGATTCGAAGTCACCGCCTCTAAAGGCCCCAATCTCATGGTTTTCCCGAAAGTGTAGATGTTTTCGTCTGTTTTCTTTGCAGCTGAATTTTCTATTGCCAATCGGCCAACCAATCAGATTTCGAGGTAAACGGACCGCAGATTCAAGCTTAGCACCATCGAAAAACCCCTAGGTACATGTCTTGTGCTTTCTCATGACGTGCTACTCAGTAGGTCTCCGATGCTGCCGGATGCTGCAATCTTATTGGTCAGATATATATGCGGGTCTTTTGCGGGCGGAGGACCCATGTTTTTTCGACAAAAAGTAGTCGTTGACCTTCTCCTAGACCAAAGGGTATAACACGCAAAGTTTGGTCGCATTTGCTTGTACAGAATGGATAAAGAACAGAAATAACTGGGGAGACTCCGTCACCCCCCTGGGGGAGGGGGAGGCGCCGACCCCCTCTTGACCTTCCCTGGATGAAAGGGTATACCATGGAAAGTTTGGTTGCACTGGCTCTTACAGGGACCAAATGCATGAAGAACAAACAAACACACAAACTTTCTTCTTTATATATATAGATTCATCCTAAAATCTAAACAAATTGAGATATAACAAATTCATAGAAACATTCGAGTATTAAGAAAAAAATGTTTTAATTAAAATGATTATAGGAATTCGAGATATTTTAATCTTCTATTTGAATATATTTAACAAAATATATCTTAACCAAATGTACCGACTGACTTCATTTAATCATACATGTGTTCTTATTGGTCACTACCGATCATTCTATGAACTGTTCTTTGTTCCTTCCTTTCTTTGTTTCTTTGTCTCATATATATTGCGATTGATAAGCGACAAGCATTCTTTTATATACTTATCAATTACATATACAGATCATCTTCATAAGTGATAATAAATAAAAAATAAAATTCTGCTCGTGATCCTTATCCAAATGAGTTATTTTTTTGTAATAAGAGATGAATCTTGAATTGCTATACATGAAGAGAAAATTCACAAATATTGCAATAGACACACTTTTGATTCACACACAGAAAATAACCTGTTGTCGATTTCGAATTAAAAAAACCTAATTGCTTTAATTTCTCCTCTTAATAAACAGTTAAAACCATCCATATCTTTCATTCTTCAATAATAGATTCTTAAATAGATAGAGTTAGTCGTATATTTCTCTAGATATTTTATCTGTACTATATAAAAGCATCTATGAGTAATAAAATGAAAGTAGTAATTGATTACTTAGCCGTCACAGTCATTGAACTTCACTTCGTTTCATTTTCCTCTGAGGATATACAATCTAGTTTTCACAAAACAATAGTGAAGAATAATAATGATTTTAGTCCACAATAATCAGAACAACTGCGCCAGTTAAAGAAAAAATTGTTTTTCTTCAGAAATTGAATAAGGATTTTGTCACCGAAATGAGAAGTGATAGTCGTAGTCAATATTTGTGAATTCCATCTTATAATATTTAAATAGCTCGTATGTGTCATGTACTTTTGATTACGAAAACTTGTCAAACAAAACATGAATACATTTTTAGTCAGTGGGAAGAAAATTTGTTGTATTGAGTTTTAATTTCTTGGAACGTTTACCACAAAATTTATAATAAATCATGTCATCGATTTTAGTTACTTCTACTTTCTGAATAGTTGCTTGAGTGTAAAAATGAGAAATCGATAAACCTAGTAATAAATATGGCCCACCTAAGAAATTGTCAATAGAGTTGAGGAAATTAAAATTAAATACTTCAGGAAAAAAACAAATTTTCATTTCTCTACCGCACGAGTATATAAAATATTTTCATATGTTCTTAACAATGCCATATCACGCCAAGTCTGATGTTTATATAGTTTGTTTGAATATTTCCATCTAATGATCGAAGGTTTTATAACGTAAATAGAAAAAATTTGACATATTCGGATTAAATCAAAGCTCTCACCGCTGAATTAACTAATATAATATATGAGCTGTCCTGTATGTTCAGCGACCGAGACCGAGATGTTTGAGTTTTAAGATATGTTGAATGTATGTACAGTGTTCACAATTTAAAATTTAAGTAGGTTTTTTTTGTCATGTTTCTTAGATATAGCTCATCGAATTGCACAAGAGAAAAATGTTTCATGTTTTAAAAAATAACTTTACGAAAAACTCAAAGATGCTATTGTTTTCAAATATAACAGGAAATAGGCCGAAAATTCTAACTTTCGTAAAGCTTTTCTAAAACTTGACACATTTTGTCTTATGTAATTCGATAAACTATATCTAATAAATACGACAAAAAAAACTATTCAAATTTTGAATTGTGAACACTGTACATACATTCAGCATTTCTTAAAAATCGAATATCTCGGTCTCGAACGCTGCATATACAGGACGACCCATATATTATATTAGTTATTTTCGCGGTGACGCACTCGCTAAGATATTTTCTTCGAACGCGTTGTACACTTCAACAAATGTCCGAATTTTTGCGTTTTGATGCAGTTATTTTAGGAACTTGTTTAAATGTTTTTCTGTCCGATCGATTTGACGATGTTAAAGTGAAAATTATATCAACTGTTAACACGCAAAAATTCGGACATTTGTCGAAATGTACAATGCGTTCAAAGAAAAACGAAAAATGTTCGTTAAAACGTGTTAGTTTGTCATTTCTGACTGCTTGGGAAACTAACAAAATAATATTCTGTCAAGTTATTTTCTGAAATCTTCAATTTAAATCTTTTTTCAGGATGACTGTTTTTCTAAGGCTTTTTGTTGTTTTATCTTTTCGCCCAGTTCATTCACAGTAAAAACATGATACCTGTTGTTTGTTTGAGTTCTTTTCTACTATTCAAATTACTTTTTGAAAAGATCAAGTCGTTTCAAATCGTATCCGAACTAATTTTGGAAAGATAATTAGATACGGTGAAGTCTTCGATTAATACTGACTGATTTAACTATAAACAATTTTATAAAAATATAATGCGGTTGACCAATTTGAAAAGAGCTTTGATCGATTGTTTTGCATACGTAATTTAATAATCGTATAATATAGGCCTGTTTCTTTTCATAGCATCAGTAATAATCGTGTATTTATGAAGATGGATTATTTCTGTGCAGAATAATGCTTTTATCCTTTTCTCTTTTAATTTTTTCCATTTTCCTGTATTATAATAAAGAATCATCTGTAGGGCTTTGAGATTAATATTAACACTAAAAAGGCTACTGATGATTAAGTGCTGAGACTAAAAAGTTTATTTTAATCCACAACTGTATTAATTGGTATTCACTTACATTGATATGAACTATAAATCGTACTGTTATTGTCCTGGAAACAAGTTTCTCTCTATTGTGTATTCTTGATAGGAAGGAGTAGGATAACAAAAATCGAGCCACTTTTTCAAAAATAAAGTCGAATTTAGAGGAACGCGACTTGATTTTTCAAAAGTAAATCCGAAGTGAACTGAACTGAATTGAACTCGAACCAACGAAACATGGATGGATTCGGTTAATAATAGCCATAAATTAGTTATCATAGTGCTTGTGTACCTATACGCACACGCAATAGCAACTGTATGCAGCAATAGAGAAAAAACGGCAAGTGATGAAATTCTATTAGGGAAAGTACAAAAGGATAAAAAAAGAACACAACTAATGTGTATTGTATTATGAATAGGCACAAAGAGAGAAGGTGAAGGAAATAGCAATATGTATGATGAACGTAAACAAAGGTAGACGATACTGATACTACAATAAAGACGCGTATGGTTCTTTCAGAAGTTTAGTGAGAAGAAAAGAAAATAGGCCAGTAGTAGGCCTTATCAATGTATGTATAAATAAACTAAGATTAATTTCGAAAATGTCCCTCTGAGGGAAAATATCAAAAAATTTTCTCAGATGTCACTAAACTTTTTAAAATTTCCTAAGATGCTAATGAATTTTCAAAAAATTTCTCCTATGATCGTCGGTGCACACGGATAGATTCTGCATGGCTAGAGCAGAGACAAAATTTTAGAAAAATGGACCTAAGAGAGGCTACTGGTTTTCGTTCATGGCACGCAAGTTTTATTGAGAGTATAAGCGTTGAAGACTTATCTTCTCTCATATCTGACACCTGTATTAAGAATGAGAACAATCAAAGTTAGGAGACACTATCTTTTAACAATGAATTTTATACATATCAGCTGGGAAGATCAGCTAATAATAAATAATGAATCAGAGAAATGATTATATGATCAATTAATATCAATCTTTAAAAACATACTCGAAAGTATCAATTGAGATCTCGTGACAATGAACTTTGCCATGTCAACTAACAATTATTCTTCACTCTTATTCGATTCCACAAATAATTACTTTAAAAATATTTTCATTATTTATTTTATTTATTCAATCAGAATCAGAACACAAACAACTTTCCAACAAAGGAAAATAAACATAAAAATCTTTTGAATGTTCTCGTGATTCTTCAATAGTTAATTCTTTAATTTTGGTACAATTGAGCCGTGTTATATCTCTTGTAAAATTTTCTGTTACAATTGTTAATTGATCATAATCGACTGTTAATGTGGTTAGACGAGGTAGATGTGTTTTTCTATCATTGAGAAATTGCTCGACATAATCAATATGAACAGTCATGAGAATGAGTGAAATAAGATGAGAATATTCAACAATTGAATGCAGTTGATTATCGTGAAAATTCAGTTCGCTTGATATGTGTGATTGTGATTCAAAATTAATGACACGTAATTCTTTAAGAAAAGGGAAAAAGCGACCAATTCGGATGAAAAATTCATGTTCGAATGGAACTGAATCATACACTCCCAAGCTTACAACATGACTAAAATCAATAGGTGGAAATTTGTTGCCAATATATTCGAGATAATCAAACATGAACGGTAATGAAAAAACATGACATATGCCAATACCAATATTTACGTAGTTTACAATACAACACACTTGTTCATATCCAATATTAGTAAAAGTTCGTTGAATATCATCGTTCGATAAATAATGAACTAAATCATTTGGTTTAGTTCGGGTATTAATATTAAAAATAAATTTATAAAGACGCGGCATATGAATAAGAATTTCATTATTAATTTGAGTACCATCGACGAATGTAATCCGTTTTGAGTTAATAATATTCAAAGTTAATTCTTCAAGATTTGGCATACGACGAAGAAGAGGTAAGATTTTAGTATCATATTCATTCTTACGACAACGACACTTTAACGAGAAACATTTCATATTAAGTAAATCATCCTAGAGAAAAATACAAATTAATGCTTGTCAATATATATTATTATTGATTATAAAATAAGAAAAAATTCAGGCAAATAATATCAATCGAAAAGATACATTTCTATTTAATTCATTTTGAAATATTTCTTCAAGCCAATGATATATATATATATATATATACATTCTTCTGCGATAATGACCGGGAGAATTATATGAAACTTTTCTAAAATTTCGACATACAAGAGATAATTGGATACTGATGAGATAACTCGAAAAATTTAGATCAAGTATATTATTATAAAAAAAAATCAAACTGACTAAACGAACTAAAGGGAACAAGAAAAAAAAATGAAAACCAAAGATTGTTTATAGTTACGGTGGAAAAGTTAGACTAACATAAGTTTTGATCGTTTACCCAGTTCTCAGACAACTAGGTATCTCGCAAAATCAAACATTGTCCGTCTTACACTTTAAAAAAATCATTTTTTAGTAGGAAAAAACTAGAACATGGTAAATCCAATATTCGCCAAAAGTTAATAGTTTTATTAACTAAAATACAAGTCAATTATTCAATTTATTTCTTCAAATCAACATATAAGCGATTAAGTATGAGACACAAAATTTCCTCTATTTCTTTATCAAATAGATCAACATGATTGTACAACTATTTAATTATTGTGATCGATAGTATTCTTTTTAAAAGAGTCTCCATGAAAGATCATCGAGCATCATCTCACTATACGAAGCAGTGGTCAAAATTTAAATTTTGATGAGTGTTTCGATTCCTTCGTGCTATCATGGACGCTCTCTCAATTTAAAACAATTAATCTAATAATATAAAAACTTACCATATTATAAACATTTGGTGAATGATAATCTGTACTATTAATATTAATAATAACCGTAGTCAATTGTTTGAGACGACCATCAAGTAAAGCAAGACAATCTTCAAAAGTATTTAAATTAATACATAATTTGTAAAGAATTGAAGACGAACAGGTTGTCAAAGGTAAATTACGAAGTGATAAAATTGAATTTAATCCAGTAATAGACAAATGTTTCAGATTTTCGAAGAATTTTAAAATACATCCATGCACACCTTTTGGATATTGTTTCATTAATAGAGTGTTTTTATCATCTTTGTATACAATAATAAGATCTGTAATTTGTTGAAAAAAACGTTGAATTGGTGATTCGACTAAATATAAGAACAAATTATATGACAACTTTTTCATCTAAATCTATGTTCAGATTAACACGGAAGCTCTTTTTTTACCTGCAAAATAATATGCAAAGATTGGTTCGTTGAAGTTGAAAATTTTAAGTTCAGTTAAATTAGGGTAATCAGCAGCAAGAAGAATACGTTCCATAGATACCGATTCAAGAATGAGAGATTTAACATTATAATCAATTCTTGGCAATATATTAATACATAATTGATTAAATATTGAGTCATCGATAGAGACAATATCATCATTTAACGTTGTTAATACAAAATTAAGAGTCTTAGTGAAAGTTTTTTCTAGTACTAAATTGTCAAGTCGCTGATTACCAATATTCATTATTGAATAGAGAACATCCATATTATCAAGTTTCTTTAAAATAGTAATTAATATTTCATTTGGTAGGTCAAGAAGGCTAACATTTGACTGATTCATGTTAATTTTAACAAATGATTTTTAAGCATGCATATCTATATTTATATGTTCATTGTTTATTTGTATCCATTGTTGTCATTGGATAAAATGAATGAATGATCCCGTCAAAAAAAAAAAAATATATATATATATATATACTGTCAATGAATAGTCCAATGAATTCATAAATGAACATTTCTTCTTCTTTTTTTTTTTCTTTCCTGTTTCTATGATATTATAGTATGCCGACAGAGCGAAAAAAGCATAGCGTTTTAAGCGAATCAATATCAAATGCACTACGTGTGGCGACCTCTTAGAAAATTAAATGGGCCGAAGTTTTCGTTAATACTAGAAGATAGAAGAAAAAATTCTCTATCGAACTGTGCTTTTAGTTTTTTCTAAAAAAGTGATTCTATCAGAGAAATAATCGATATAATCTGATCAATCAAAAAAAAAAGATAGTCTCTAATGGCTTCAGCATGGAATGGTAATACAATAGAAAATGACTGGTAAGCTGTCAGACCCTAGATGACTCATACTTTTGTTATCAGATTCTGAAGTCACTTATGCACTTGATATATATTTTTGGACCAAAAATTTTTATACTACAATTCAGGTATCAAAAAATTCCGAATTTAATTTATAGTCAAACGAAATACTTCTTATTACTGGCTTATTTCTCTAAGCCTGATTTTAGACTGAAAAACTTTTGCTTGTGCAGCCCTCTTTAATTGTTGTCATAGTGATGGTTTATTATTCTGCAAATGATAATTTTATGTCAAAGTTGTCATCGATTTGTTCTTTTTTTTTCATGTGCTATTTTTCATTACCTATTTGTTACAACTGATTATATTATATTATTCAATCTGTTTCAGATTTCTCTGATTACAAGGTGCAATAATGTCGTCCATTTGTGTTTTATGTTTTCGATCAGGAAAATTAAACAAAAACCAATTCACAACAGTAAATAGTGTTGAAGTTCAAGAAAAAATACAAGAAGCATATAAAGATATAAATGGTATTCCTTTATCAACAACAATATTAAATAAACAAGTACATAAAGTGTGTTATCAAAAATACCATCGTCATTATACATATGCGTCTCAAAACAAACAATCAACAAATGTAGTACCAAATTCTTTGTCAACTCGTCGTTTACCACTTGTTGATCGAACAAATTATCAATGTCCATCATCGTTAGTACCAGTAGTACCATCAGCAAATGAAAATTTTCAACAAAATTTCGTAAATTTTTAAATTTAATAAAAATTTATTATCTAAATTTAACGTTAATTTTTAGCTGCTGTTACCATCGTCATTATCATCACAAGCAACAACAGAAAATCCTGATTCAACACCACACAATGACAATATGTGTTTAGAATTTTCATATGTAAGTGAAATCTTTGATTTGAAAAAAAAATCCAATGAGTTGTAGAAATAATAGCGTGTAATAATCATCTAATGAATTGTTTTAGAATCAAGTATCGTATTATTCTGGTGGTGTTACTGATTTACAAGAAGATTTTTCTAATTCATCTGATTTTAATGATGCGAACTTTTCAACATCAATTGGATCATCATCGGCTCAACAAATTCATCAAAAAGAGTCTTTCACAACCAATGTATGCATATTCTTCTTTTAAACAATTTCACAAACATTTGTATTCATTTCTATGTCTTCTTAGATTCAATCATTAACAGCAGGAAAAAATATTGACCTTCTTGACTTGATCGAAAGTATGAGTGTCGATGGGTCTTCATTAACCACTGTCGAAAATCTTGATTCAATACCATATAATAACAACATGTATTCAAAAGTTTGTCATGTAAGTGAAATATTTGATTTGGAAAACAAATATTTAACACATTGTGTTAGAATGAAAAATCATATAATGCTGATGATTTTATTGATTCACAACAAAATTTTCTTAATTCATCTGGTTTTATTGATGACAAATATTCATCACTAGTTGAATCATCATCAATTAAACAAATCTATCAGAAAGACTGTTTCCAAATCAACGTACGTATAGGGTGCAGGCAGAATTGAAATTCAGACAAATTTCAAATTTGCCTAGTCAAAATTGAAATTTTAATTTTGACTGAATTTATATTGAACGAAAATAAAATTTCAATTTTGACTAGGCAAATTTTAATTTTGACCACAACATATATATACTCGTGTAAAAAATTTCTGAAACATTCTTATCCATTTACTTATATTCTGTCTTTTTAGAATAAATCATTAACAGCAAGAAAAAAAGTTGATTTTGATGATTTAATCGAAATTATTGATACAGATGGATCATCGCCAACAACTGCTGAAAATCTTCATTTAACATCAGATGATAATCATATGTATTCAAAAATTTGTCGTGTAAGTTAAATGTTCTGTTTGAAAGGAAAATAAACATTTAATACATTCTTTTAGAGTGAAAATTCATATAATGCTGGTGATGTTTGTGATTCACAAATAGATCTGATTGATTCATCAAGTCTTGGTGATCCAGAGTTTCTATCACCAATTGAATCATCATTTATTTCACCATCACCAATGCAATCATCATTTGTTCGATCACCACAAATTGAACCATCGTTTATTTCATCAGTATCAATTCAATCATCATCAGTGGAACAAATTCACCCAGAAAAATCGTCCAAAACCCAAGTATGCATATTCTTTTTGTAAAACAGTTTCAGAAACGTTCTTATTCACGTGTTGTTATGCCTTCTTAGTTGCAATCATCAACAGTAAGAAAAAGAATCAACTTTGATGACTTGGTCATTATGAATAACACAAATGGATCATCACCAAAAATAATTGGAACAACAAAAGTATAGCAGCCTTATGTTATTTTTTATGTACCCATAACATATGAGTTTAAAACAGCGGTTTAAATATCTTATTGTTGCAGAAAAAGGGGCGATGTTTTGTACAAAAAGGGAGCTCATTGTTTTCTCTAATGTCATCATCTACGTACACGTATGTTTTTTTTATTTTAATAGATTTCACGTCTTCGTTCTCGTTATTCAACTAAAATTCGACGACCAACTAAAAATCATAATCAATATCCAATCGATGATAAAAAGAAGTCATTTCTGTATGATGATAGTTTTAGTGAATTATGTGGCTGGTTAGAAAATTTATTACGTGGTGGTTTTTTAGTTTCATTAGTAATGGTTAAAGAAAAATATGAAGAAATTTTACAATTAAGAAATGAAATGATAACAGAGGGAATGATACGTACAACATCTATTCGTGATCGTCTTCATACAAAATTTAAAAATCGTATATTATTTACAAAAGTGAGCAATCGTCAAGGTTTATTTATTTCTTGGAATGATTTATCAACAATAACACAATCAACATTAACTAATTCATCAACATTAGATTATAATTCTGGTTTTCAATCAAATAACATTTACAAAGATCAAGAAAACGTGGTAGATAAAGAAGCACAATCGACAATATTATTTGAAGCAATTGAACTATTACGAGAATCAATACATGAAAATATGCATTATCTAAAACAAGTTCAAGACAATAATAAATCACTTACTGAGTTTACAACAGGCTTATTTTGGGATTGTGTTCCTACATTAATAAAAAACGTTATTGGATTATTAACTACGAATGATGATTATTTTCAACGTTTTAAAAATAATTATGAATATTATAATATATTTGATCAAGATATGTACAAATCAAGTGAAAAAGCTTTAAAAATTTCATCAATAGCTTATGACATTATCAATACAAGATATAATTCTTATTCAACACCGAAACATTTATTGCTTGGTAATGAATTATATCATCACGTACGATCTTCACACTTGATCAATATCATGAACAAATTTGGACATACATGTTCGTATGAAACAATTGTAAGTGAAGAAAATTTAATCTAACTAATTGTTGAAAATTTGAAAGTAGATTTATTGAGAAAATATTCTTATGTAAATTATATTACTTTTTATACTATTTATTTCTTTTAGATTCGTTTACAAAACAAAGTGGCTGCTGAAGTTTCAAAATTATCATCAACAGATCTACCACCAACAGTTCAACAGCAGCATTCTTTTGCAATAACTGTTGCCGATAATTTTGATATGAACATTGGAACATTACATGGTGAAAATAGTATACATATACTTAATCGTATTATTATACAAACACCAGCCAATGATGAATTACAATATGATGTAAATGAATGTTTAAATGATTTATGTGATTCGGTTGCTTCAATTGTTGATCAATCACATGTTAATTTATTATTAAATTCTAACATTACAACAAACAAAAATGATCCTCACATATTATATAAGAAAAGTTCTTATCGTGATGCATTATTAGCATATAGCTTAATGAAACATGTTTATGATACAAATAATATTTTTGAGAAAATTATTGATAATGAAATAAAAATAAATGTACCATTATTATCTGGTTTTTTTGCAACATATTTACCACATGTACATCGTCCATTATCAAAAATAACATTTCTTTCACCTATTAACCAAGATCCAAGTTCTTTAACAACATCACAATTATGTCTTCAATCAACCAAGTCGTCTTTGATTGATTCTCATTATCAAAAAGAAGCAGTAGTTGTAGTAGATGAAAAAATTTACAGTAATTGTATAAAGGTAAATTTTTCTTGTTCATTTTATCGTTTTATAAGTATCAAAATTGATTATATTTCATTACTATATGTGGTTCTTTATTATAGGCAAAACGTCGAAATGAAATTGATAATAAATCAATATTTCTTTATCCTGGTGATTTTCATATTATGAAGAATTACATGGTGCTTATTTGGGATGTATTAAATGGTAGTGGTATTGAAGATGTTCTTGGTCGTATTTATAAAGCAGCAGCACATCGAGCTATTATGAATGTTCATAATTTTAATTATTCACTTCGATGCTGTAAACTTATTTATAGTGCATTATCAATATTATTTATCGATTCATTTATTAAAACATTATCATCATCATCTTCAACGAAAACAAATGATATTATTATAAAGTTAAAAGAAATTTTAAAATGCATACCATCAGATTATGTTATAAAAAATAAAAAAGAAGAATGGTTTGCTAATTTAATAAATGAAATTGGTAATTTAAAACTATCTCAAGTCTTGGATAAATGGACGATGGAACAATGTGAACTTAATGCAGCATTTCGGTTTTGGTATTTTATTTATCGTCAACTATTGGAACCATTAATATTAATGTATATGTCTATTAGATTGTCTAATTTTGATGGTACGTCATTAATTTTTTTCTATTCGTTATACGATCTATTCATCATATTGAAATTTAGGAAGAAATGCTGCATTATCTTCAATGGCACCAATTTTCTTCGCTACAAAGCATAGAAATTATGCAAGACTTTCAGTACAACATTTATTAGATCTCAAATCTTGCTCAATTTATTTACGTGAAAGATTAGAACGATCATTTACTGTAAATCGTACAAATCGTCCATTCTCGGCCATTGCACTTGATCAAGCAATAGAATGTTCCATTAACAAATATGGTAAAGGTCGAGGTAGAATCTTTCATCATATTAGTTACTTAATCTCATCATATTTTTATTTTTTCCTATAATTGTAGGTGGCATATCCGGAAAATTGAATCCTGAATCAATTGAAATATGGTGTAAATCATTTGCATTTAGATCAATGTTATCATCGATTATTAATGATATTGCTTGTATTGAAAGAACAAATAATACAATTGATGCACATGTTGAATGTTCATTTTTCCGGATGGTACAAGACAATAAAGATCTGTCGATTATTACTAAAGCATTACTTGAAGAGAATTTATTTAAACAAGATAATATACATGTTCGAAAAATAATGAATGGAAAAATTATTCATGAAAAAATAATTGAAAATTTTGTAACAATGTATGAACGTGGTCTACAAAGAATGCATTTATTTATTCAAGAACGATATATTGATCAATCAATAAATATTGAAGATCCTTTACCAGCTATTGTTCGTTATAAATTATCAGATCCATACATCTCAAACGATGCACAACGATTAAAAAAGAAAACAAACAATAATATTTTTATGGCTAAAATGGTGAAAGAAGCTGATAATACAATTAAACACATAATTTCTTTGTCATGTTTTCGGGCAAGTTTATTTTTCCGTTTTTTTTGAATAATAAAATGTAAATTTCTTTATTTTCTTTTAGGAATTGGATATGAATATGCTATTTTCACATGAATTTTCACAAGCACCATTATCATTATGTGATAGTCAAGATTTTAATCTCTTAAATCAACAACAAAAATCAGAAATAATCAAATATTTTGAAAAAGAATGTCCAACTGCTTTTTCAACAAAACATCCAACAACAAATAATGGTAAATGGGCATTAATTATTGATGGTGGACCATTATTGGAAATCAGACCAATAAAACCAAATTGTACAATTTTTGATTATGCTAAACAATTATTATTAAATAATATTATTCCAGAATTTCAAATTTATGATCGAATTGATATTGTATTTGATGCTGATCAAAGTAAAGCTATTAAATCATTTATTAAACGTCATGGATATGAAAACAACAAAGAACAACAACAATATGATTTAAAACAAAATGATACTTTAGATTCTTCAAGATTTTATGAATTTGTTCATAGTAATCGAGCAAAATTAGCAGGTGTTATTCGTTCTTGTTGGTCACAATATGAACTTATTGGCTTATTACCGGTTCATAAATCTTTAGTAATAGCTGGTCCACAACAAGAAACCATTAAATTAATCAATAACAAGAATTCACCATCATCAGAAATCTTAATTAATTTAGAATCAGATCACATCGAAGCTGATACACGTGTATTTTTACATATATATGATATTCAAATGGAAGATGATAATGGCAAGTTCAACGGCATCATGATACAATCGAATGATACTGACATTTTTATTTTATCAATAGCACATGTCAAATTAATTATGTTATCAAATTATTTTATCAAAAAATTTAACACCTCTTCGAAATTATCTACGTTTATCAATATTAAAGAAATTGGAAAATTGATAAAAAATAAATGGAATATAACTGAACCAAATATTTTTTTAACTTTACATGGAATATCTGGATGTGATACGACGTCGTTCACTCGAAATATTACAAAAGAAAATTATTTTGTTACATACTTGTCAAATCCAAATCAATTTCAAGGTTTAATTAAATTTGGTGATGATTTAACAATTACAAATGAACCATTAGAAGCTGCTGAAGAATTGTTGGTATCATGTTATAAAAATTCAAGAGGTTTTAAATCTTCAATGTCACAAACAGCATTATCATCATCATCATCGACAACAATAAAATCATCATGTGAAACATCATTAAATGATTTACGAAAAACTATGGCTGTAAAATACTTTAAAAATTCAACATTAGATATATGTACAAAATTACCACCAACAACAAATTCATTTTATCAGCATTGTCAACGTGCATGGAGACAAGTATACATTTGGAAAAAAGCATTTGAATCATATGATTTAATGAATTATTATTCATTTGAAAATTATGGTTATCAACAAGCACATGATGGTAAATTAATGATCCAGTGGATGACAATACCAGCATTACCAAATGATATATCTTTAACTAAATGTGTTAAATGTACAACTGGTTGTCAACGATGTAAATGTTCAACAAATAATTTACCCTGTACACCTTTTTGTGGTTGTTCAATTGATCAATGCACAAATCGTACAAGTATTCAGGTAAACTAATAAAATTTTTGATAAATGATTTCACCATATAACACGGATTCTTTTTCATTTCAGACGATAACACAATCAACAAAAAGAATAAAAACAAAACCAACATCGTTATTTATCAACAAATGTTCTTTTGATGATGATTATGACGAAGATGCAGAGGATGGTATTCAAATGGAAAATCAAACAAATGCTGATTACGAAGACGGTGGTGAAGATGATGAAGATGAAGATGCACTTGAATTTATTTATGAAAATGAAGTAAATATCAACCGTGTTATTGTTTAACATGTATCGGTTTTTTTTATTTTTACTTAATTAGAGTGATGTTAGTTCCATAAATTCAACTAAAGATGATTATTTAACTGATGATGAAACTCAACCAATTCTTATGGATATGTCAATTAATATGGAACACAGTTATTGTCGTCGATCAACACCGTGGTCATCGAATAATTACAGTAGTACAACAAAAAACACAACATCATCACCATTACGATCATCATATCTATCAAGTCCATTCGATAATTCATTGTCACCAATTGGTCCAAGTATCAATGTAAAAGTAATAAATACTTTTTATAAGGAAACAAAAAGTTCTTTTTGTAATAAAAAAAAAACTTTATCGTTCATTTTTTTTCAATTTAGAACTTGAACAGTACAAGAACAAATACAAGATCAATCAAACGAAAATCAGTAAAACTGGTTCCCAATATAAATACATCTTCACAAAGTACACCAAGTCAGGTTAGATTGATTTTAAACTATTTTAGGATTGAAGTTCACTAAATTTTTTTCATTTAGATTATTCCACGTAAAAAAAAATCGTGATATATCAGTATTTTCATGTTTTTTTCATAACATCAAAAATTTATTTTGTTTTTCTGTTTTTTATGTTATTATTTTTTATAATTTCTTTCACTAAAAGGCATTTTAATATCATTTATATTTTTATGTTTTTATATCTTTCTTTTTTCGTACAAAAATAAAATGTTTGCTCATTTAATGAACACTAAAATGAACATCATCAATGGTCTCAACTGTACACTTAGAAATCAACTTTCTCTCTCTATTTATACTGCTTCTCCACATTGTATTTGCATTAAAATCATCTTTTGAGATTTGTTTATGAGAGATTAATATTTTAAGAGCACAGTTTCATAAAGATTATACAGAAAAGTAGCCACTCTTCAATAAAAATACATTTTCATGTCAGTTTCTTCGGAAACAGGCCTCTTTCAAGATGTTTTATTATTAAAATGAGAGATGCTAGCAATGAGAATATTATTATAATGTTGCTTTGCTCATTCTAGAGTATATTGTATGAAAATCTTTTGAATTCATTTTTTGGGAAAAAATGAATATAGATGTCACCGATGAGAAGTGTATCTGTTGTTAATTGGAGGAAAGAAACGTCTTTTTACCCCTCTGACAATATACCAGACAGCTTCATAGAACGAATTCTTTAATTTGATCTTATTGCATTTTAGTTTATTTCCTTGTACTTTCTTTTATATAAATTAAGTCTTTTTTTTTATACTAACGATCGTTTCGATCGTTGGATTTATTTTCAGTTCAATTTTACAATCAATAAAAAAAATTAACAAATAAATAGAACCACAAAAAAAATTGAAAAAAAACTATGATTTGTTATTATTGCACTTCGCTTTTGATCCAGAAAATTTTTCTAAAACGTGTAGCTGGTCGTGTTTTTGATGTTGATGGTGCCATAGGTGTCTTCTAAAAAAAAATTTCGAAAACAAACAAGATGATACATAAAAAGAAAAAATACGACTATTACTAAATTTGTTATAGGATGATTTGATATCGATTGTATTTTAGGAGTTGAATAAAAGCATGGAGAAGAACATGGTGTTGAATCGTCGAAAACGCTCTAAAAAGATAAAATTTATCTTTTTTAAAGAATACTCTTTTGACTGATACTAAGGTGCTGGATGAAGTTCGTTGTCGTTTTGATGTTGCACATGAATTTAATATCTTGTCGTTGTCGTTTTGATGTTGCAGATGAGTTTAATATCTTGTCGTTGTTGAAATCACTTTTCTATGTGTACTGGACAATGACCAGTCGGTTGTGCATGCATATATCAATAATAACATGATATCCTATTCCTATTGGATGTTGTGTTCCATTGCTTCCTATTGGTCTACTTATTTAATAATTTTCTCCAGAAAAAAAAATGGGCCGAAAAATCTGACTTCATGACACGGTTTGTCTTTTATCAAGCTACAATTTGATATTAATGTCCAACGTTTTGACCATCCTGCTCGTCGAGAATGATTTCATATTGAATTGACGATTGAATATGATCAGATAAATATTTAATGATAAAAATAGATGATCAATTAAAAGTATATCATTCGAAAAATGGTTTCCGACTATATGAAATATTGTCTAAACGAATATATAAACACTCTCGATTTTAACATCTAAACATAGTTGAAAAAACATATTTTAGCAAATTCTATATAATAATTATCATTAATAACATATTAAAAAATAATCTTAATAAGAATAACCCATGTCGTACAGAACGGCTCGTAAACTGCCTTAAACGACTTGAAAACGGTGAAAAACGGCTGTCGTTACGATGATTGTTTACGGGTTGCCGTAAAACGGAGAAATACGGCGATAAACGATGATCTTTACGGTGATTGTTTACGTACTAGCGGAAACGATTGTCTTTATGACCGTCGTTTTTTTGCCGTTTTCACACCGTTTTTCGTCGTTTCAAAAAGTGTCCTAAAATCATCATTAGACACTTTCTAATGATCTATAATTAATGGGTCATTACGTATTTTTAAAAAAATTATATATTTTTATTTTCAGATTCTTTTCACCATCTAGTTCAACTGTAAGTATTGTATTTGAATAAATATATTTATTTATTATTTTTATTTAGATTTATCTCAATGAAATATTAAGTAGTATTGAATTGAAATAAATAAATATATTTTTTTTTATTTAGATTTATCTTAATGAGATACAAAACAGTAAGTATTTTATTTCAATAAATACATGTATTTTTTTTAATTAGGTATATTTCATCGATATGTTCAATAGTAAGTATTTTGCTTAAATATATTTATTTTTGTTTAGATTTATCCCAATTAACTATTTAACAGTAAGTATTTTATTTAAATAAATAAATCTATTACTTTTTTATTTAGATTTATTTCATTAATATATTCAATAGTAAGTGTTTTGTTTAAATGAGTATATATTTTTTTTTTCATTTAGATTTCTCTCATTGAAATATATGATAGTAAGTATTTCGTTTAAATAAATTTATTATTTTTATTTAGATTCATCGCAACGAAGTATTTAATAGTAACTATTTCATTTAAATAAATAAATAATGTTTTTTTTATTTAGATTTATCTCATTATTATATTCAATAGTAAGTATTTTGTCTAAATAAGTATATTTTTTTTCATTTAGATTTCGCTCATTGAAGTATTCAACAGTAAGTATTGTACTGAAAAAAATATATTTATTTTTTTTATTTAGACCTATCTCAGTGAAATATATAGTAGTAAGTATTTTAGTTAAATAAATAAATAATATTTGTTGTGTTTACGGAAGGTGAGGAGGGGATGAAATATTGTGCTCCTCTTCACTGAGGACAGACGGCAAAAGATATATAAAGTCGTAAACGAGAAAAACCGGTGTAAATAAGACACTAAAGGACGAGAATACTACCATAATACTACTCATCGTTGCTCGCCGGAAACGGCCTTAAACGGCGTCGTTTACGTTCCGGGAAAAAACGGCCCTCAATCCGAGCTGACGGAAAACGGTCAAAAAACGGTGAAAAACGGCGATCGTTTTTCGTCGTTTAGGGCATTAATTACGTCGTTTTTTCACCGTTTCAGGCATTTTAAGACGTCGTTTCAGACGGCCTGAATGATGGACCTGGGAAAACCTACGATAAACTCTGATAAAAAGCATAAAATAAATGATAGAATTTGATTTGTTTTTCTCAATGATTGAATTCCTTCTATCGACAAAGTTTCTATTATTTATTTTTTTATTTGTGTCTTTTAAGAAAACTTTGTATCCGAGAAAAGAAAAGGATTTATCAGCTTATCTGCAATAACAATCTATTGTTAGAGATATTGAACTATTTTAACCATAGATTTATCTTCTTATTTAACTAAAATCTATATTTTAACAATTTTCACCTGTTATCAATAGAATCATTCTTCTAACTTAACCTTCTCTAATTATATATCTATCAATCATTATTTCGAAAGACAAATAGAATTAGACTCCTAAAACAACGTTTAATCAAGTGTCTCCTAAGATGAGAACTGTCTTGGAAAAAAAGGTAATTGATAGATAAAAATTAATTTAACTAACAAATTTAAAAAAGATATCGATAATAAAAGTGAAAATATTGATAAATAGAATAATAATGGGATTACTTTTCTAATTTTGATTAATAAACAAAGTTTTATATAAATAAATTTGTTTAGATATTTTCAATGTAAACATTGAATTAAACTTATTTATTCGAGAGATTTCAAAACAATTTAAATTGACAAATAGAGATAAAAGAATTTGATTTATCTGATTAAAGAATATTCAATGATATTTAACAAAACAACGTTCAATACAAAATTAAATAATCCTAAAGAAAAATCCATTAGATAATCGAATTTCTTTCTTTTATTTTTAAATAATTATAAAAACGCAAAGATTTATTTCCGAGCAAATAACTACGCACAGAACCCCGACGTTTGATTTCAAAGACTTTTTTTTTGTTGAGATTATTTCTCTGTGGGTAAGTGTAAAAGTTCAATCTCTAATAAATTGATAATGTCAATCAGATGAAAAATTTTCTTCTATATCGAATCTATTTAGAGAAATTTTCTACTTTATATATTTTAAAGGCTAAATTATTTCTACTATTTCCTTTGTTAGAAAGAATAAAATTCTTTGTCATAATAGGAGTCGACCTACTGAATATATAATGAGGAATATTGATTCTAGAATTGATAGATTTACCAAAATTAATTTCTATTCTTCAACAAGAATTTAAAAAACAAAACAAATTGAGATTTTTTTATTCAATTTCATTTTTTTATCATAAGGTATTTTTTTTGTTGAAATGTTGATTATGTTATATTGATAAAGTATCTTATTTGAAAACAAAAATAATAATAAGATATTCTTATCTGACATTATCTCTTTCGATATTTCTAATTGACATTCGACATATTTTATTTAATTCTTCTTTTCCTATGTTACTCCTAGATAAAACAATCGAATAAAAGAAAATAATTTCTATTGATTATTGATCATTTCGGTATTTATTGATCAGTCAACTATCCTTTCGTTTGTTCAGTTATTTATCATATTAAAGATCTATTCGTATGCAATCAAAATTCATTATAGAATATTTTACATATGTTAAAACATTTAATGAGAATATATTCATATAGATATCTCAAATATGAACAAAATCAATTTTTATCAGATTTCGACATATTCGGGTTGAACTGAATAGAACAAATAAGTCAATTAACTTAACGGACAAATAAAACAATCAGTTGATTTAATTCAAGTTAAAGTTAATTTATGTATCCTCTCTTTGTCTTTGATAAATTTTTGAAAAATAGCTCGTTTACTTTCAGTTAGAAATCTCTGCTAAACTCAATTCTAGTTTAGTGATTTTAAATAAATCATTATTCTCTCTCATTTACAGTACCTCGTTTTTTTTTTGAATAATTATTTTAGTATTTATCTTTGAAAAATAAATTCTATTCCTATGTATTTCTCAATAGTTAATCAATAAAAAAAATATATTTCGCCTTAGACTAATATAAAACATAGTTTATTCGATTTCGACAGAGAGAGAGAGAGAGAACAAAACTCAATGTTTATATAATAATGATGATAATTGTTTACTAGTTTTCGGGAATTGACGAAAAAGTTCAATAAATATACTATCTTATACATTATCAGTTGGTGATCCTCGGGATAATATTGAATTTTTTATAAATATTTAGATAAGATGATCAATATTTCCTAATGACAATTGACTTTTTCTAATTGATATTTAGGATTTATTTATTATTTATAATATATTCAATGATTATCGTTAATAGACTTGTTAATATAAATAAATGTTATTATTTTTTTGTTTTCAATTCTAATGAATATAAATATATCTATAAATGATTATTATCAAAACAAAAAATAATAAATGAATGTTAAACGCGAGATAATATTAAATATATCATAAACCAATTTTTTAAATTAAATAAGATAAATCAACATATAAAAACTTTATTTATCAACCATTTTGTGAAAATAGTACACAAATAATTGATCTTAATTGTCTAAATTATTGAAAACGTTTATTTATGTACGAGAATAACGCGTGAAAAAGAATGTGATCGTATATAAACATAATGATAACCTATTATTACAAAATAAAAAAAATAATTCTCAACAAGAATACATATATTTATTCATCATATATAGATTTATTAATAATCATCATTGACAATTATTTCAAACTCATAGAAATAGAGAAGAACATTGAAATGGTGGTGGAACTCTTATACCTATATATTATAATCAATTTTGACGTTTATCATATGAAAATATAATACATTTATTTGTTTAGTTTTTTTTTTTAATCTTATTTATGGTGAAAGATATTTACCTTATTTAGTTGATTGTTTTAGTATTAATATATCGAAAAATGATTGTTAAAACAAGAAATATATTTTATTGAAAAGATATTTAAATAACAACTATCGGACGAATATAGAAATCGTTTTCTACAAAACTTATTCAAATGTTATATTTCGATATAAACCATTAATCAGTATATCGTTTGTTTGGATGACTACGGAAAAAGAAGAATCTTATAAGAAAAAATAAAAGAATTCATTTTTATTTTCCTAACCAATCAATATAATCTGTCAATTTATCAAATATACATTGTAGAACTGACTAACAGATAGAATATAAATAAGAATCTTGTGTCCTGCACTTTACATAGATACTTATAGTTTTCACTATTCAACGAGAGAATATTCGAATCTATCCAAATTTCATGCTTAGAAATTTATTAATCAGGTCAGTTCTTTGTAGACGATGATCGAAAATGATATTTTCAAGCTATTTACTTTATAGATCTAAGCAAGATCGATATTCCTAACTTGTTCTCTTTTACAATTCTAACATTTTCGATTTCAGTCAATTGACCTGTAATCATTCGAAAAAGCAGTTGGACAGAGATAATTGATTATCGTCATATTTGTTTTTCTATCCGAAATAATTTGACACTATTATCTAGATCAAAAAGAAAAATAACCTTCAGAAAATCATCTTCGAAAATCTTCACCAACAACTCTCATCTAATTGGTCAATTTGCTGACCAATTCGATTTCGATATACTTCAGTTTAGAACACTTCCAATACACTGATATCATCATGATCAAAGGTATTAGTTATTTCCACTATGTTACACTCGTTTTCGAAACGATAGTCAAAGAGAGATATATCAATATTCAATCTTATTCAATAATTCTATCACAACAGGATCATTTTCTTCCCTAGATAATCAACGAAGTCTTTCAATTGATCAGCTATCATTCAGGCCCAAACTCTTCTTAACGTATTCATAATGATATACTTTGATCAGTTGAAAACTAGTGCCGGAAGTATCATAATTCGTTATAGTAAGCTATGATGAACTTTTTTTTCTATAGAGTCTTATAGAGAAAATAAAGCGAAGATTTTTCTATGTTATTTTATCATACTTTAACTAATATTATAATAATAAATTTTCGATGAAATCTGTTTCATTCGGAGATCTATTGGTTGTAGAGATCTGCACCGATTTGTTTTTCGAGTCAGTTAAATTGTTTGCCAAAAATTAAACTGACTCCGAAAACGAGTCCGTGTAGGTCTCTAACTGGTTGTATTAGATGATACTAGATGAGAATATTAGATGAGCGTACTTTCTATTTCAACTTTCAATAATTTAATAGATTCTATAGGAAGAAACGAAATATATCAGAACGATCCAGAGTGAAAACCTATACGATTAATATAAGACTGAGAATGTTATACGACTAATTTTGCGAAGGTTTTAGAATTGAATCTATATTTTCGTTAGGTAAGAGCAGTTATACCGATGTGATTTATTATAATGTAATTTGCATGTGTCTCTAACAAGTAATAGAAGAGTGAATGAGAAAATCTATTTCGAATAGGTATCAACCAGTGTCAAATCGTCCATCGATTATCGGTTTCGATCTGCCTCAGTAATCGAAGGAATAAGAAATGAAATTTGTCGTCTACTAGGAAATGATCCTGTTTACAGCGTCGAAAATTGATTCTATAGAATATTGACTATTTTCAAGACGAAAAGTGAAATTATTATATTGGTAGTCTTATGTAAATCGTAGAGGTTTTCACTCTGCATCGTTCTGGTATATTCCATTTCATTCTATAGAATTTATTAAGTTATCGAAAGTTGAAATAGAAAGTACGCCCATCTAATACAATCAGCACATCTCCAAACGAAATAGATTTTATCGAATATTTATTATAATGATATTAGTTCGAGTATGATAAAATAGCATAGAAAAATCTTCGCTTTCTTTTCTCAATAAGATTCTATAGAAAAAAAAGTTCCTCATAGTTTATTATAAGGAATTACGATACTTCCGTTACTAATTTTCAATTGATCTAAGTATATTATCCCGAATGACAATCAATTAATCAGTTGGACGATTTATCTCGTAAGTCTGTCACACAGTATGTTATTGACAAGGGTCGTTCCTATAGTGTCTGTCATCGTCTTGGAATGAGAATTTTTCGTAAAACGTGAAAATTTTTTTGATCGGATGTTCGCACACAGGATTCGCATTGATGTCTTTGACTGTCTCTAAGATATGGTTTGAGATATTTACATCTATAGTTTAACATTTGTTTTAGATTGTGTTTTACAAAATGTTAGACACAAACTGATAAATTTTTTCTAATATTGCTTATTATATTGATATATGGATTTTTTTAAAATTCTAATGTTATTTCTACCTGAAGAAATATTTTAGTTAATTCGTCTATAAAATAATTTTTATTATTATATTAAATGAACGTCTTCTATAGGAATCATGTTTTTATCAATAATATTTGTTCATCTATTTCAATTTTAATAATTGTGATTAGTTATTTCTATATATAAATACGTAGAGTACGAAGTGACAATCATATATATATAACAAAGGAAAAGTAAAACAAATCGAGCATAACGGTCATTCATATATCTACTCTTATTCGAGTAATAAATAATAAAGACATTCTATAAGTTATATAACTATTAAAGATTGATAATCAGTATTGATTTAATGCATAACTATATTAACTAAGATATGATTTTCTATTAGATGATTATTTTCCAAGATTTCTTCATAGACTTGAATAGAATCGATTTGTTTAATATGTAATGGCTTTGGGATGATTATCATCTGAACAAAACGAAATCAAGAAGAGATTGAAATGATCGACCTATTTTATGAGTTCGACCAGGTGAACAATATCTATCGACAGGTGAACATAAAAAATGTCATCCAAAAAACGTATGAGAAATGAATTACGTTATTTGACATTTATTGCTCTTGATACTGATCGATGTGAACTAGTTGTTGAAGATCGTAGGAGAGCATATTGTGATAATTGTGATAGTAATGGACTTGAAATAAGAGGAGGTGTAGGTCTATTAAAAAGTGTAGATGTTCGAATACGGTATATTATATAAATAAATATAGATTTTCTTACTATTTTCGTTTATTTGTTTAAGATGAAGAATTAATCGAATAGTTAAAGATGTTATTTGTTTTCATGATGAAGATTTTGAAAAAATAGTTGAACGATTAAAACTAGATATATATTAACCATCTATTTCTCAAGAAGTTTCAATAAATAAACAATTCAATCGATAGAATTCTAATATATTTCAAAAGAAAAAAAAATGAAAGAGCCGAAAATATCGTTTAAATAATATTTCATAGAAACAACGATAGAGAACTGTAATTTTCACCATTAGAAAGAGAAGAATCAGATACGGAAATACCTACCAAATATTTGATTGATCAGTAGATTTTATTTTCTTAGGAGCTTGGATCATCCAAACAAGCATCTATGTTTACTAGAAATCATCTGACCAGAATTGTTCACTACTTTATAGGAACTGTGGAGACAAAACAACCTTTCCTTTTACTGTCAACAAATGAAGCAATCTCCGACGGACAGATCGTGTTGGGAAGAGGCTGGATCATAGTGGATTTTCTTCTTTTTTTCTGCCATCCAGTCATCACCAGCGTTTATAATAGAAATCTGAAAGAAAAAATCTAATATAATCGAATATTAAATTGTAAAGTGCAATATAAGATTCTGTTTTTTTCTAACCAATGTGTCATAAAGTATTAAAGTTGTGAATTTTTTTATTTAAATTACTAAGGAGACTCTTCATATGAAAGTATCTCTTTCCTCAGTCTTGAGAAAATTTCAACGTTTTTTTCGTTTGTTTTGTTGATCAATTATAGAAATTGATTCAATTGTTAGCGAAAGTCTTTCAGTCGACCTCCTGAAATTGTTGGTGACTCTCATCCACTCGGCACATCCCTGAGCACATCACTATTAATTAAAAAATTTTGAATTTTCACCGTTATATAAAATGAAAAAAAAATGTCAATCATTGTTATTAGATATCCAGATAATAGATTGTCATCAGTGTAGATTCTTCCTGTTAGAAATACTCTTCATAACTTCTAACATTTCGAGGGTGAAAACAATTTATAATCAATTATTCGATCGTTCTCAATCGAAAAACTAATATTCTTATCTCAATATTTGTTAGATGTTTATTTAAAATCAGATTGATTTTCTTCTAGTATTTAGAATAGTCTGATGATGATAAACTTAATAAATAACGTCGTCAATGTATTGGTTATGTTCGTTTCGTTAACCTGTTTATGATGATTGAAATAAAAAAATCTTATTTTATTTTCTGATTGATATAGATTGAATTATTTTATTTCTTTATCTATATAGAATATTTATTTTATTCGAACAAATCTTTATTAATTATCATATCTAAGATGATTTTCATGTCATCTCAGAGTTAACACATAATTATTGAAATGATCTAGATGAAGAAGAAAATACTCGTTAATTTAGTCGAATATCTGATAGATAGGAAAACAAAATCTCAATCTATATAGAAAAATATTCTTTTATTCAATAATCTATAGTTATTCTCTTACATATTCAAGACTATTTTTTGTTTTGATAAATAAGATAAAGATGTATAAAAATGAAGAGAAGAAATTCTATTGTTGTTTTTGTGTACTCAAAAAGTGAGTACACTCTAGAATCGGTCAGTGTGTCCGTCCGGCCGTCCGTCCGGCCGTTAACACGATAACTTTTGAAAGGAGAGTCCGATCGCGATGAAATTTTCTACACAGTTTAGTCTTAACAATATCTCGGTCGAGTTCGAAGATGAGAATGATTGGCCGAACCATTGCTGAGTTATTGCAAAAATAGTCATTTTTTCCTATGAGAAGATAGACCCTTCTCTGCTTTCATAAAAAACTTTTCCTATCATAGTCAAATAAAACCCCAACTATTATATACCATTCGATAGAGAATTTCACGAGCTACAAAATCGGATATAAAACATAAAGAAACAAGAAAGCTAACTCGCCTATTGTAAAGATAATTAATCGGAATTCGGTTCTGTTTTTGTCCACGCTCTATGTGATCCACACTTAGAGCTCTATCTTCCCATCACAGAGATGATAGTTCGAGGTTTTCTAGAATGGAGAACTCGGATCTATGTTCCATTCGCCTCGAAATCCAGTTGGTTGAGCAGTAACCAATAGAAATCAAGTTATAGGAAAAACGAGTTTCTTAGGGTAAATCAAGGTGAAGAGTTCAAATCTGAGCTGTATTT